CAAAAAACTCCTTGAATAATCCCATTCAATTAATTGAATGGGGTTATTTAAATTACCATCATATATGCTAAACAGATTATTGTAATTGAATGGGGTTATTTAAATTACCATCATATATGCTAAACAGATTATTGTAATTGAATGGGGTTATTTAAATTACCATCATATATGCTAAACAGATTATTGTAATTATCTAGGATTTAATATATGTGGATTCCCTCCAATTAAACAAGTGAATATAAACACAAGATGCCTAGAAAATGAAAAAAAAAACCATGCGTATCGCATTTTCCCGAAAATCATACTTTCCTTCGAAATTTACGAATCTACAAACCAAAAGCCCCCTTAGAGTATTATGATCTTGACTGTTTTAATTGGAAAATACCAACAACTAAATAATCATTAAAAAAAAAAAAAAAAACTATCCTAGACACCTATACACCAAGAAGCATATTTAAGAACTCTCGAGATCATAATTCATAATCATCCAGCCAATTATCAAAATTTCTACCACATATGATCTTCTATGTTGGGTCACATAACATATTACTGTCTAAACAGTTCTAAACACCCAGGAAAATATTCACATACAAGGGTATACCAGGACAAAAACACCTCCACTGTTTTCACTCCCTCTGAACAAGAGCTATCATGAGAATAAGGTTCCACAAGAAAGGAATGAATACTCACCTAAAGAGGCCCCACCAAAATCATAGGCTTCATTGTGTCATATATCCCAAAGTAAATGCCACGGTACAAAGTAATCCCCAATATAGGCCCACAATGCCATCACTTGATAAGGTTTTACGGTATACATCTAGCAGCCCTTTGAACTGGCATTGACCATTAAATGAGAACTCTTTGCCATCAGTACCAAGCCTAGTACATGCATAATCCAAATGATACAAAAACAATGATGTAGTTGCTCCAGCAGCACTCCCTGAAGCCACATTTCCAGCAAACTACATCATGTAACAATCCTTCTCTTTTGAGCGCCCAAAAAAACTTTCGAAGTAACCTTTGAATGCAAAGTTGAAAGCCTATGGATAATCGAACATCTGTTAAGTATCAAAATTAGGCAGGACCAATATATGTAAATGTAAAATGTAAAATGTAATATTAAGAATATAGTGAAAAACTTGCAACTTATAAATGATAAGAAGATGTTTGGCATTATTATGATGTTGCAAAAGATATTATACATCTCGGTACAGGCATCAAACAAACAATTATCACATAAGGGCCAAAGGATTCACCTGTTGTAGAAGCTTAAGCCCCAAAACTACCATACAGCACAGATTTGGCTAGGAAAATAAAAAAGCCATGTTAAAATTAATAAAGACTGATTTACTATTTCCTTACCTTGAAGAAGCAGAACCCCTTGCCAAACAAACAAGTAAGGAGGAAACTAAAAGTCTCACCCAAAGAGTTTACTTGTTTTTCTTTCTTCCATTAAGTTCCTATCTAAGTCTTTGACTTATATGCAAAAGAAGATAAAGTTTCTGACGAATAACTGAAGAAGGAGAAGTTCTTCTATCAGCAACATTCTTGTCTTAGTAGGTAAAAAGATTCTCCTTTAACTGCAGCTCATCTGATAGCTCTTTGGTTCCAAAGACAAGGAAAACTCAGGTTGTCATGCTGTCATAGCTGGTGTAGGTACATCAAGAAGATTCAAATCCAATCATTTGATCAGTTCTAAGTATCTAATTACTAACCAAGTATCCTTCAATTACAATGTTCAGATTGTTAGGTTTGCCCTCAGAATTTTACAGAATGTACAATACAAGGATGGGTTCGCCAAGAATTTTATAGATTGTACATTACAAGGATAGGTTCTCATCAATGTCCCATATATAACCAGGACAGAGCACTTTCCCTACAAACATGCAAACGTCAACGATCACCAAAATGGTTTTCCATAATGTCTATATTATTTTCTTCCAGTAGTTCCACATATTAACATAGAGTGACAAAGCAGATCTCAGAACAGGCTGACAAGGCAAAGCAAAGTAGTTTTTAACACAAAAATTGATTGTTGCAGTAGTCAATAAAAGATTTCAACACTTATCACATATCTGTCAATGAAACAAATACTGTACTTTAGAGGATAAAATATACACTTATCTGTCAATTTGAAACATTACCAAATTCCTCAACATTATTATTCTAATAAATCCCCAATATTAAGGACCAATATTAAAATGACAAGCATCTGATCCAGCAAGAAAACAGAACAATTTTTCAAAAAATTGCCTAGTGTGACAATCAGCAAGAAAATAAACAATAGTAGAAAACTATGGGGATTTTTTTTTTTTTTGGGTGTGTTTATACCTGAGTAGGACAATATCTGATGACAATGGCTTGATTACCCCTCCAGAAACAGAAGAGACCTTCCTCCCTTAAAACCTTTTTAAGGCAATCACCAACATCCTTATAAGGATGATGAAGCTGTCCCCATTTATCATCTCCCCTTGATTTTGCAACAAAAGCTTTACTCTTTCAATGGGTGCTTCTGTGCTCTTTGACATTACAGCTACCATTTCAGCCATAAAAAAATCCGTTGAAAATTTCTCTGATTTATTCTTACTCATTTCCATCTTCTCTCTTGTCTATCTCTCTACAAATGCCAATATATTAAACCCCCAAAAAAAAAAAAAAACCCATAAATTTTTTCTCACCCTCTTCCTAGAAAAGATCGACTGGAACCGACGTGAGTACAATCTGACCCAGCCGATGCCATGACGGTTGGCTGGAGACAGATCGGTCTTGCCGTCGTCGATCTGGCAGTGGGAAGAGATAGGGTTTTTGAGACCCAACGACCCATCTAATTTGTGCATTGTTGATAAGGATTCTTTCGATAAAGGTGACGGTTGCGACTAGTGAGACGACGGAGTTGTGAGTCGGCTAGACCGCAACGTCAATGGGCTTTCGAGCTTACTCCGATTTCATCATCTTTCTCAAGCAGCTCAAGGCTCCGGAAATCTTTAAATGCATTCGACGAAAGCCTAGCAAAGCTACGTATTACGCCGATGATGTTGCTGATGTTTTGAATTTGGTTTGAGGCCTTGCAACAGTTACAATTTCAAAGCCTCGGAGCCTTCCTGAGATCCAAGTTTCCTTTGAGAGCACTGCTCGACGTAAACAGGAAGGTTGGCGCAGATAGGGTAAGAAAAAAATCGAAAAAATTCAAAATCGTTTTGAAATCACAGTGTTTAATTTAGATTAGATTTTTTTATTTGGTTTAAATTAAATTTAAATATTAAATATATATCAAATTTTAAATCAAAAATAAAAAATAATCTAAATGAATTATATTTTTTTATTAATTTTTTTATATATTTTAAATTTTTATAAAATAAAAATAATTATATTATATTTAAATTATTACTTTTTTATATATTTTTTAAATTTTTATAAAATAAAATAATTATATTTTGTTTAAAATTATTTAAATATAATAAACATTTATATTAAATAATATATAAAAATAAAATTAACAAATTAAATTATACTAATAAAATTTGATTGAAATCAAATCATATAAAAAATTAATTTATATTTAAATTAAATTTTAAAAAAATAAATCAAATTCAATTGAATACGAATAATTATAGCTTTACAAATTTATTAGTTCTACACATCGGAGTGATGGATAATCGTTGTTGGTACTCGCCTGATACGGACAACGCTTATTCTTGATTATGATGATGTCAGTCACGCATTTTTTGGTGCGGGCAAAAATTTAATGGGATCGGTTATTATTTCTCACTTGTTCACAGTAGCTTTACTGCTTAAAGAAATGCCTAAAAATTAAAATTTTTTTTAAAATTAGATTATAGATAAGTTGTTCAATATTTTATATCAAAATAAAATATATCAAATTTAATAATTTAAAATAAATAATTATAAATTATGTATTTTAAAATAATTTTAATAAATAATCATCGATAAAAATTGAATCAAAATTTTTTATCGATAAAAATAAATTTTAATCAATTAAATTAATTTATTGATAAAAATTTAGATTTTTTTTACAAGTTTTAGCTTTATATTTTAGCTGGAATAACATTTTTTCATTTTTATTTTAAAAAAGCTAGTGTCATTGTTTGCAGTAAAAAGAAAAAATGAGTATAAATTTTCTTGATTGGTCTAAAGGTTTAAACCCGATTCTTGATATAATAAATTTAATTTTTAGATATTATATTAAAAAAATTTTAATTAAAATATTATATTAAATATTATATTATATTTTAAATGGCATTATAACATTAGTTTTAAAATAAATACATATAAATTAAATCTAATAATTTTAAATATGGAAAAAATTGATAAGAAAAATATATAAAAATGACATAAATTAAAAAATTATAAACATATATATAAGTTTTGAAACAATCAAAAAACATATCTTATATAAATATATATTATAATATAATAATTTTTAAATTTTATAGATAATTAATACGAAATATGACATAAATATATGAATTATCGAATACCATATAAATTACACTTAATATGTACACAAATCTAATCCAATTATTAGAAATCAACTCCCACCATCTTAGTAAGCAATTACTTTTTTTTTTCTTCTATTATTTATTTTCATTTGCTATTGAACTTTGAAAACTATTATTGTAATTGAAGTTGACAAAGTTAACCGAAATTTGAAAAACTTATTTAATATGCTCAAATACGAAAAAAAAAAAAACTACTATTTTAATTAAGTTGCAAAGTTAACCTAAATTTGAAAAACTTATTTAATATGTTCAAAAACGAATTCCACCTAATTTAATTTAATTTTCAAAAAGTTAAAATTTTGAAATTGTTTAGTCCACGTTTGAAATGGCAAATAAAAAGTAATAAAAAAGGAATAATTTGAAATATTAACTTGACATTAATTAAATTATTTAAAAAAAATTTTATAAACTTCCCCTAAAAATTTCACTTAAATTTTGTCCGGCTTGCGTATGGGTGATAATAATACAAGGGACCATAACCGTTCCTCTTCATGAAAAGGGTCAAATACCATTGCCACAGATGCCAATTCAACTGCAATTTCATTGACTTACAAGTTGCAAATGGGAAGTAATTGAAAAACAAAAGAATCATGGTGAAAGCTATAAAGACAAAAGTAGAGAGCATTTGGCATTCAATTTCAACTAAGCTTAACACAGGCACGAGCCCATCACATGGTCTCATGCGCATGTCTTCTCTTCCATTGTCTTGTCCTTGTTTCGTTTCCCTCTCTTTACATCTCTAGGCCAAAAATTAAACCGAAAAAACCCTTCTCCCTGGTTAATATCTTTACTCTTTCTATTGTTTTCTTCACTATTCATGCAAACACAACAAAACCCAGATCCCGACAGCAACTCCAACAGATGTTTCCTTTTTATTCTTTGTTACTTTGTTTATTTTCAGCTTAGAACTTTTATGGAGTGAAAAAAGAAAGAGTGTGGAGTGATTATATATAATTTTTTTTGAATTGTTGTTTTTGATCGAATCTGAGTAATGGGTAGTTCTGGAATCTCGATTTGGTGGTGAATTGTGGAGGGTATTTGGTTGAAAGATGCGGCGGCGGGCTGCCGATTACCGGCGCCCGGTTCGTAGAAGGTTTTCGCATTGGATCTGTGCGCTGCTTGGGCTGTTTGTTGTTGCTGTATTGGTTTTATTTGTAGTTCATCATTATCATCATGAAGATCGGGTTGAGCATCCTGTTCATGTAAGAACATAGACAACCCATGTCCTTTTTTGTATTTTAATTTTGATCTTTTGTTATGTCTTTTATTTATCTGATTTTGTTTATGTGGGTTTAGTTTGTTAAGGTAACTTGGGAAGTAGATAGTGAAAAAGTTCGTTGTTTCTAAACTGTTCGTTTGGGGGTCTGTTGCAAATTATGGAAATAAAAGGAATAAGAGAGAAAATTTCTTTCTTTTTATTTGTTTAAAATGGTTGATTGAGGTTTTAAGAGTTCCGGATTGATTGTTGAGCTTGTGTATGTAATCTGGGATACAAAGTTGCTTTAATGTATTTATTTATATGTAACCTTGTTTTCACAGTTTTAGATTGAATCATAGTAGCTATAGTGGATTTCTGATTAGACTTTGGATTCATAGTAAGTGATTCTCACTAGTTCTCTTCAGAAGCTAGATATGTGAGTTCGTGGTTAATGACATGCTTGCAACCTATTGTTGTCTGTTCCATGGCAGTGTCTTTTCACTTCCGTGCTAGTTGTTGAAATGAAAACATGAGTAGGCAGTTAAAGAGTAAAAAATGCAGTTGCCATTTCTTTGATGGAATTGATATGAACAGAGGATGGTTCGTTCAATAAGAGAAAGGAGCGTGAATCTCATACTATGAAGGTTATATTCAGGGTATTTTCATGTCATCAATTTATTTTGGAAGAAACATGGATAGACTTTTAGATTTCAATTCTTATTTTCATAGCAATTGATATATTTTTTTGTGTGGTTCATTGCGAGAGTTGAATAGAGCTTTCAATTTCTTAATCAAGGTGAAGGATCCTTCATTCAAGACTTGTCCGTAGGATTATAGGGTTAAACATAAAGTTTATATATGGTTCACCTTAGGTTAAATGCCAAACATATACGCTAGTTCTCCCTTTTAGTATTGCTGTTGTTTTGGAAGGCTTTTTAACATGCTAGCTATCATATTATATTAACCTGGTCCTGGATTGTCTACTTAGAATAAACAAGCCCCTGCATGATGAAGCTGAAGCTTAAGCCTCAGTAATAAAGGTCATGGTTGGTACCCTTCTGAAATTAATTTTACCAGGAATATATTGCATTACAAATATCATTTTAATGAGATTACAATATGCAGTTTAACCAGCCTTTATATAGAACTATTCAGGTTTAAGACCAGATTTTAACAAGATACTGAATCTTAAATGCTTAAAATTCTACCCAGTGTCAACAATAAAATGGTTATTTCAACTGGAAAAAATTTAGGTGCTGTCTTGTGTACCTCATTTTTTATAAAAAAAAAGTAAAAACTTTAATGAAATAATATCTTGTGGTGAATATTTTCTTTGTTGAATAAATTAGATGTTTGCACATATTAGCATGTTACTTCATATTTTCTCTGTCTTTGTCTTTGTGTTTTTTTTTTTTTTTTTTTTTTTTTTGTTTCTTAAAAATTTTATTACGGATGGAAATCATATGATAAATGTTGAAACTATCTAAAAAGTAATTGTCTTGCAATGACAAGGCCTTTTCGTTGAAATCGAGTATTGCTATATGATTTATAGATGATACAGGCACATGGTTTAGTAATTTTGGTTTATGGAAGTCCTATGATAACTGAAAATAGGATTCTTGTTTTTGAAGTTCGTCTCTTTATTTAGTATAACTGGCTGCACACAAAAGAAAAGAGGAGAGGGATGGGTGTTTGTACTGCAAGTCTGCAACTTCATAGAGAAGCCATAATGACAGGGATGCAAGGTAGATAACTTGGAGGGAGAGAAACTTTTTTGAGTTCATCACTGCATAATCGTGCAGCTGCTAAGTTGCTAAATGTGGAAACCATTATCTAGCAGTACACTACAACTCCCATGACTGTGCCAGCAGTAATGCAGACTGCTAGTGCAACAATTTATACTGAAATTTGTCTGTTCTCCACCACCTTCAGAATCTGTCATTACTTTGATATCATGGCTAGCAGCAATTCTCCAACTCATGGAATACATCTGAAAGGGAAAAACAGTAAGTACTTGGTGCAGTGACAAATAAAATATGTGGCTGAAATTGCCCTGATCACTCTTTAAGATCAGAAGGAAGAAAGAGGTGGAATATTTGTGTCTTCTATGTAATCTTTGTGCTCTTGGGGAATCTTTCTGATAAAGTTAGATACAAATGCTAAATTTAGGTGGTGCAATCCGTTATGCTTTTCTGTAGCGCTTCTGCACATCTTATTTTATCTTCCACCTTATATCCTTTATTACGATATATGATATGGATATAATGAGCATCAATTCTAAGTAATTGAAGGTTAAGTGAAACTAGTGTACCGTATAGCCATTTTCTTTTAAAATGATTATTGGAGGACTTACTCATCAATTACATTTGCCTTGCCAGGAGGAAGATTCAAGAATGGAACAGGTTGTTCAGGAGAATTTAAACTTCACTGAAGAAATATTGAGTGCTACCTCATACTCTAGGCAGTTGGCAGAACAAATGACACTTGCGAAAGCTTATGTCGTAATTGCAAAAGAGCACAATAACCTTCACCTTACCTGGGAGCTAAGCTCAAAGATTCGAAGTTGCCAGCTTTTGCTTTCAAAAGCTGCCATGAGAGGGCAGCCCATTACAATGGAGGAAGCAGAACCAATAATTAGCAGTCTATTATCTCTAATTTATAAGGCGCAAGATGCTCATTATGACATTGCAACTACAATAGTGATGATGAAATCTCATATTCAAGCCCTTGAAGAGCGAGCTAATGCAGCAACTGTTCAGAGTACAGTGTTTGGACAATTGGTGGCAGAAGCATTTCCTAAGAGTCTTCACTGCCTAATTGTCAAGCTTTCAGCTGATTGGTTTAAAAAGCTGCCCCTTCAAGACCTTGCAAACGACCGTAGAAACTCTCCTCGGCTTGTGGACAACAATCTCTATCATTTCTGTATATTTTCAGACAATGTCCTTGCTACCTCAGTAGTAGTTAATTCTACAGTTTCCAATGCTGATCATTCTAAACAGATAGTTTTCCACATTATCACTAATGGGATTAGCTATGGAGCCATGCAGGCTTGGTTCCTTAGCAATGAATTTAAGGGGTCCACTATAGAGGTGCGGAACATAGAGGAGTTATCTTGGTTGAATGTTTCTTATTCTCCCATTATAAAGCAGCTACTAGATGTAGATTCACGGGCCTACTATTTTGGGGAAAATCAAGATTTGAAAGTTGAACCAAAATTGCGGAACCCTAAATATATTTCCTTGTTGAATCACCTTCGGTTTTACATGCCAGAGATTTATCCACAGCTTGAGAAGATAGTATTCCTTGATGATGATGTTGTTGTGCAGAAAGATCTAACCCCTCTTTTCTCATTGGATTTGCATGGAAACGTCAATGGGGCAGTAGAAACTTGTCTTGAAGCACATCATCGATATTACAAGTATCTGAATTTCTCAAATCCAATCATCAGCTCAAAATTTGATCCACTAGCATGTGGTTGGGCATTTGGCATGAATGTTTTTGACCTGATTGCCTGGAGGAAAGCAAATGTCACTGCAAGATATCATTACTGGCAGGAGCAAAATGCTGATAGGACACTCTGGAAATTAGGAACTCTTCCTGCCGGTCTTTTAGCTTTTTATGGGCTCACAGAACCACTGGATCGGAGATGGCATGTGTTAGGATTAGGTTATGATCTCAACATCGACAACCGCCTGATTGAGAGTGCTGCAGTTGTTCACTTTAATGGGAACTTGAAGCCTTGGCTAAAATTGGCCATTGGAAGGTATAAGCCTCTATGGGAAAGGTATATAAATCTAAGCCACCCATATCTCCAGGATTGTGTCACAAGTTGAAATGCAAAATTTTTTTATTGCTAGTTATTTATGCAATCTCCAACAACATAAACCCGTGAAGGCTGATCGTATATTTGCAGAGTCGTAAGTGAAAATTTTGACTTTGTTAAGAGATTTTATATTTCTTTTCTTTATTAACTTTTAGTTTTTCCTTTTGATCTTAGTTTCTTGAAAGGAAAAAGAATGATTTTTATACAAGAGAAAGTTTGAAAGGTGAAGAGAAGTGGGCATTCATTTTTGGCTGATGGGGTTTTCTTTTTCCCCTCGAGCACACTGTAGGAATTATTTGTTCTTTACCAATTATTGTAATAACCTCTCTGCTCTTTTGGATTATATATTGTAGCTGAATCCCTGTATTTCTCACCCTTGTTTTTGTTATTTCAAATGTGAATCAGTTTACAAGGTCCATTTTTTGAGATGGGTTGTTGAATGCATTCCATAAAATTTGGGTTTCTTGAGGCAAAATGCCATAGAAAAGAAAAGAGTTCATCAACATTTGATTCAATAATAAGGGGGTTTTTTTTTTAATTCTTAATTTACTCTTAAACTTTTATATCTAATTGAAAAGAATATTACGCCTCTAAGTATTCGCAGTTAAATTCTTTCGAACCTACAAACCAGATAGTCGTTAATAAGAGCATGTTTTTATTTGCAAGCTTGGGTTCCCTTTTTTCTTTAATACTTCGCAGTTCAAAATTTTGATTCAATCTGCAAGTTGGATTGATTTTCATTTGTTCCTTACTTGTTAATGATTGATGCCTATTAGCTGGAATATGATAGAATTATTCTGGGGATGATTTTCATTTCCCTTGATAATATTGGTTGCAAAATGGTATAGATAGACAAGTTATCAAGCGTATTTCAGCAGTAGTGGATTGTCCAAAAACAATAATTTGCAGAGAGGAGTGGTTGGGAGCTCTATTATTCCTAAGATGATTTCCTTTATTTTAGAAACTAGATTTGCTACTTGATTTCCTGGCGTCAATTTAAGATCTGGATTAGGTCTGCGAATCACAATTGTCACCTAATCTTGTTCTTGTCAAGAATTAAATATCATCCCACTTGACTTGTCTGACAAGAAAGTTGATGTACTATGCATTTGTACATCATTCAATGAATTTGTCTGTTATGAACCCAAGGTATCTTAAGCAACAGCAGCAGCAGAGAACACTGTTTTAGGTATAATAAACAAACAATTAAAGATGAATCAAGCTTCAATACGTTTCACAACCATCTTCTATTTAAACAATCCTAGAAATCTAAGTAGGAATCAAATTGTTGCCTATTATCAAAAGACTATTATATAGAGACAATTGAGGTGGTGAGGTGTGGCTGATAGTCTCTCACCATTAAGCCAAATAATTAACAGCTTTCGAAGTAATCCTTTGATTTTTCATATGGCTGCCTTTGTCCTACCCTCGTCACTGTGTAACAAAATCACCAAGAGTTACAATGAGGAAAAAGATTTACAGCCGATGATCGACAGAACCTGCAAGAGATATAGAGAAACACTCCCCAGCCTTTCCGTAGGCAAAGGTTGGATGACTGAACATCTAGTTCATTACCATGGTTTTTGGCTTACCCCTAAAGCTGCCTTGAAAGGTGTCATGTGGATCCAAGATCACTTCAAGCCTCGACCTACTGATATTTTCTTGGCTACATTTCCCAAAACTGGCACCACCTGGCTCAAAGCACTAGTTTTCGCCATTATTAACCGCACCCGCTATGATTTTTCCGACCATCCTTTACTCACCACGGGCCCCCACGATTGCTTTCCCTTCTTGGATGCTTACTTATACCAGAACGATCAATCTGTTTCCAATCTTGATGCATTCCCTTCACCACGTCTCCTCTCAACTCACATGCCTTACACTCTGTTACCTGATTCCAGTGCTGGCAGCAGGTTCGTTTACATCTGCCGGGACCCCAAAGATGTGCTTGTTTCAAAGTGGCTCTTCATGAACAAGTTGAGGCCCAAAGAATTGCCACCCCTTTCACTTGAAGAAGCATTCAAGTTGTTTTGCCAAGGGATATCCCATTATGGACCTTATTGGGATCATGTTTTAGGGTATTGGAAAGAGAGCTTAAAAACCCCAGAAAAAATCTTGTTCTTGAAGTATGAGGAATTGAAGAAGGAGCCATTGGTTGTTGTGAAGAGATTAGCTGAATTTCTTGGTCACCCCATTTCAATGGGGGAAGAGAGTAAGGGGGTGGTCCAAGAAATAGTAAGGCTATGCAGTTTCGAGAATTTGACCAATTTGGAAGTCAATAAAAGAAGCTTACAAAAATTCAGCAGTGACATCATAGTTGATAGTCGCCATTTTTTCAGAAAGGGCGAAGTTGGAGATTCGAAGAATTATTTGACAGCTGAGATGATAGAACGTCTTGATGAGATCACAGTTGACAAGATTTATGGTTCTGGATTAATATTTGGTACCTAATTTCCTTTTTTTATATATATATTTTCGCTGTTAATTTAGAGGGCGAGCTTCAAACAATGGTAAGAATGTTCATTTTATTAGCGGAAGGTAAGGGAATTAAGTCTTTTTGAACTCTCATCTCTAACTCTAGCAAAGTGAGAAGCTTTGTGCATTAGGGTTTGCTTTTTTTTTTTTTTGTTCTGTTAATTTCATACTGCGGGAAATGCATAAATTTTCCAGGAAAAAATAATACCAAATTTCCACTTATCTATCTCATATATATAGTAGTAGAAGAATCAAAATTAATCCAATATTAAATGTCAAAGGACTTTTAAATCAATTGAGTTTAAAATTTAATCATATTGATTTAAAAGAAATCTAAAATATCCAAATTCAACTTGATTTGTATTTAAAATAATTTAAATTTAAATTAATTTAAACTCAATTAAACTTTAATTATTAATCATGAGTAACTTCGTTGCCAGGCTCACGGCATTCAATACCACCGTACCCCTTCCCCTAGACGAGGCCTTTGAGCTGTTCAACGAAGGAGTATGTTTCTATGGACCCTATTGGGACAATTGGAGAGCAAGTTTGAAACGGCCCGACAAGATTTTGGTCTTAAAATATGAAGAAATGAGAGAAGATGGTGTTTCACATGTTAATAAATTGGCAGGGTTCATTGGTTACCCTTTCTCCTCCGAGGAGGAGGGAAAAGGGTTGCTGGAAAAGATTGTGAAGTTGTATAGTTTTGACACGTTAAGCATCCTGGAAGTGAATAAAAACGGAAAGCACAGTGAAGGGACACCGGCGGTGATGCAAATAAGGATTATCATTACACTTTGTATTATAATGTGATCAAACATATTCCTCTTTGATCCATGATTGTCTTTGTGCAACTGCTCTGAATGTAAATAGCTAAAACTCATCAATTGCTTACTTTGATGGAGAATCCCAAATGGCGATTTCTGAATATCCATCTTCAGTAGCACAAGCACGAAACATGCCGGTGGTATTGAATGGCATGGCGACTTCTCCGGTGGATGACACAGCAACCAACCCAGCATTGCCTGGGGGAACTTGGTCTACAACATAAGCCGCAGCTTCCACGAGGGAAAGACCTTTGAACTCAATAACAGCAGCAACATCTCTTGCAATAGTACCACGGATTATTGCTTCTCCTCTGCCTGTAGCAGAAACAGCACAGAGATGGTTTGCATAAGTCCCTGCACCTATTATTGGCGTATCCCCGATCCTACCCACCATTTTGTTCACTAGTCCACCAGTAGATGTTGCAGAAGCCAAATTCCCTTCAACGTCAACAGCCACACATCCAACGGTGCCAATTTGGCTATCACCATTAGCAACTGCAGCACCATTCTTCACCTCTTTTTGAACTGGTTGAGTGTAATCAATCTGCAGATTCAAACGAAGTAAAAGACTGGAAAACGAAAGCACTAACGTGCTTCATCTGTTGAAAATCAATAAAATTCTGTCACCTACATAGGTGGGGGTATAAGAAAAATACCTGAACTCTATCAGCTTCTTGTGCCTGCTTGAGCCTTTCAATGTTTTCTGGAGTGATAAAATAGCTGGGATCAACAGTCTCAAGACCCTGACCAATATAAAAGAAAAAAGAACAGACCTGAGAGATCTTCAGCCACACAGATGCTAAAAGAACATTAGCAAATCAAAGTATGATTGTCACTTACTTGTTCCCTTGCAAAGGCCTCAGCACCATCAAATCCCAGATAAATATGAGGAGTCTTCTCCATGACTAACCGTGCAAGGGATATGGCATTAACAACAGTGCTGAGACCAGAAACAGCTCCACATTTCTTTGTCTTGCCATCCATGATGCAAGCTTCCATCTCAACTGTACCTGCAGTGGTTAGGACAGATCCCTTGCCAGCATTGAAATGTGGGTGGTTTTCCAGTTCACGGGCCTATATGTGGCAAAAATTAACAGTAGCATATAACAAAAAGAACATAAATCTTCCAGAACATTTTAAATTCTGCTTACAACAAAAAGACTTTTTCTTTTTCTTTTATTTTTTTTGTCCATTCAGATAAACAGGAAAGAGAGATTTATGAATTTGAATGAAGCAAACAGTTAATACCCTAGCAACCATTTAACTATATATTGAACACTCTCCCTGAAGTAAAGCCACTGATCAGTTATGGTGAAAACTCAAACTAACATCCATCTCTGTATCACAGTTGCAGAGTTTCACGATTAAAATGCCCCCCCAAATTACTCCAACTGTTTGATAGAAGAAAATTTTAACTATGATTAGAACATCCAACTTTATTTCTCTAATCTATACCCCAGCCATTTGGTCACTTTGGAATCTACTACATTGGCAGTATGGCACCAACTATTTATTATAAAAAAAGTAGTAGTTATTTGGCATGAACCCATATCAGAGATGCACTCCACTCAAGGGACACACAAGTATAGCCCAAAAAAAAAAAAAAAGCCTTATAAAGTATATAAGCAATACCACAAGTTCAACAACGTCCAAGGGGTGCTTATGGGCCTTGAGAGCGGTGATGCCAACGTCCAGGCAGTGGCGGAGGCCAGCCTCACGAGGGAGGCGACGTTCTGGGGGCAGAGAAAGTGGGATGTCACCAGCGCCTCCATGAAGAGCTATTGCCCACCCCATTTCTGTATCCTTTGTTTGTCTTAAAAAGTCCCACCTTCCCTTTGGCCCCTTCACGTTGCTCTCTTTGTCTTCTTCAGGTAGGTTTTATATTTCACACGAGAGTACAGCAAGTGTAGAGATTAGAGAGACCCCTTTGTAATTGGCACTACCAAACAAAAAAAAAAGAGCGAGTCCCTCAAGAGATTCCCACTTCGTTTTTCCTAAGTGGTCATGAGTTGAACCACAAATTCTTCAACCTCCAATGCGTAACACTATCAGCAAATATAACCTAAAATACATATTTGTAGGATAACGGTTGGTTTCGAATTAAATTCAGTTCAATTTTTTTTTGGTTTGAATCGAATTTAATTTAATTTTTTTAAATATTATATAATATTTAAAAATTTAAAATTTAATTCAAATTCAAATTAAATTTTAATTGGATTAAATTCAATTTACCAAAGTTGTAATTTTTAAAATTTTTAGAACTAATTTTATATAAAATTTTAATACATTTAAATAAATTTTAATATAAAATTATTATTTTTATTTTAAAAAAATTAAAAACATATATATAATTCGATTTTTTTTAATTTTTAATTTTTTAATTTGATATTCGATTCAAATCTAATATATATATATATATAATATTTAAATTTAATCTTAACTAAATAAAAAAATCGATATAAATCAAATCAAATATTATAATTTCAAATTAATTTTTCAATTTTTCGATTTTTTTTCTCATCCCTACGTATTTGCAGCTAAAGTTTCTTTCTCCCCCACCTGCTAAAAATAAAGAAAGAAAGAAAAACAAACAAAATAACAAATTGGGAAAAAAAAAGATTGAATAAATAAAATATTTCCTTCATTTTTATTTTCATTGTACTAACATAGTTAGCTTAGTACAGACATAAACGAATAAAGTATTCGATTGATTTGTGATAAGATTCTCTCTCCATCTTAAACGCCAATCAGAACCTGCCCTATCTCTCCTCTTTCGGGAGTTCAACATATTCACACGTTGTTGTTGTTGGAGATTGGAGGTTGGAGATTTGAAGTCGGAGCCCTGTTCTCGGTTCTGTCGGCATTTGGCAAAGGCAACGGCAACAGTTTCCCAGGTATCATTAGCAGCATGGCTCACTAACACCACTCATTGCTTAAAACATATATACGTATGTATGCATAAAAATAATTGCAATTAGTGGCATTAGGACATAGCAATCACGAACAATGTCTGGTGAAATTTCTGGGATTGTGGGGGGTTTGAGAATGGAGATATGGTATGCCATTTGAACCAAGGAATGTAATTCAACGTAAAAAAATCAGCACTCGAAGCTACATGAGATGTTGAATTGTTTCCTATCCTCAACAACTGGGTGTGGAATCCGGGTGTCCTTCAAAATATGATTTCTCGGCATCCAAAACACCCTGAACAAACGAGAATTTTGTAGTCACTCATAAAGAAACAGGTAATTAAATCCATGGTTTTGAGAGTAGAACCTTTATAATTATGATGGCTGCATCCTTGTTTATGAGCTCATTATACTCGTCACAAGCCGGATGCTGAAATAGACAAGATCTATAAATGTCTCTACAGTGCTGAGACAAAAAAAAAAGAGCTTCCGAGAATTAAGGCAAACCTGAACACAATTTGGGCAACCTGTGTCTGAGGAGCAGTGGCAACATGTGAGAAGTTCCAAAGCGGAACGCAAAAGCTCTGTAAAGTAAGGTTGGATCTGTTGCATATTCCAATGTTTCCATATTAACAATTGACTAGGACTAAAAATCTATCTCCATAATATTGAACTAGCCAAGCGGCCATTAACTTGTATAAAAACTTTTCATTCTGTCAAGAACATATAATTGCTTTATCCCAATCATTTACCGGTCTATGATGATGAAGTTTGGAATTGCATCAAACAAAAAAGAGCATATATCATAATGTGATATTTTATGATGACCACTCAACCTAGAACCAATTGGCAAAAGGTGCAGAGGCCCCTGTTTTAATTTAAGCAGCCGCCAGGGTACCTTAGATGACGTTGTAGGATTTACCTTTCATCACCAATTTTAACAATTCAAAGCTTTAGCAGATGTTGAAAAATGAAATTATTTCAAATGTTAATTCAAAGTAACACTCATTCAACAAGCTTCAAAGTCTTCAAGCAAAAATAATGATCCAGAACTTTTTCGTAGGACTGTCAAGCATGACTTAAAGCACAGCAATTACTTACCTGTTTTGAGACACCAGTCCCTCCAGGATGCTGATCATACAATAGAATTCTTTCAGGAAAGAAGCGGGTATCATAAGGATTTGGACACTCTGGAGCCAAGTCAGATAAATTGCATCTCATATATCTATATGACAGGGCATTATAAAAGAAGTCAGGCACAGAATCACCCATTGCCATAGGAAAAAAGATCAAAAAGAGAACCAATGTCTAATGTTTGTTGGTAAGAAACCTCATAAGGTGAAATAGATCTTTCCAGACCTCAACATTTTTACATGAAAGACTTTGATATTGAAAAGATTTTACATGCTAAATACTTACAATGGGACTACATGTAAAGCCGCATGACAAGCAGCATGCAGACCGGCACGGAATGAGTACCTCTTCTCTACTTCTATTTTTAAAGATTGTGGAACACTAATCCAAACTGCCTGCATGCATGTGAAAGGTAGATAAGATAAGACATGCTAGTTACCATATACATATATACATATGGCACATCAAGGGATAACAACTAGAAAAGATTGTCAAAGAACAATTGAAATAAAAAAATATGGTTAATAGTGCTCCTAAAAGCACCTGAGATTCATATGAATATCTAGGCAGAGAAAGATCAACAGTGTCTAAGATTTGGTTGCTTCCTCTACGTATTCGGCGGAAGCCAAACCATGTAGTTGTGACACTGCAAGGATTTGCTTGAGCTGTTGTTCTTGGGAGCTGGTCCTTTGAGACCCGGGCAGGATAGGCCTGTGGAAAACCAGGACGAATAGAAGGTGAAGCTTTCACATACCAAGTTCCAAAAGTAGTCACGTTGAAAAAGTAATAACGAGGACATCTGATAGCAACATATGTAGTTTCAATTCATTTCAATTGTATATCAGACATGAAGCATACCTTCACTCATTAAAGATTGCCTTTGCTTTTTAGTTTTTAGTCTATTTCAATGTTAGTCAAATCAGGAAATAAAGTTCTATCACCAATCTTGCACCTAGTCGTACAGCCATTTTTCAAATTTCCAAAACTAAGAGGCAAAGGAAAGAAGGCACCAAAATTCAAACATCTTACCAAACGCACAAAGTGCAAGTGTGAAGACATCAATAAAGTTGATAAAAAGAAAGACAAGCTCTAAATCAGCTAATTTCCAGGTAACAGATATTTAATAGTCTGACTTACAATTTTACCACCAATAATATGTATGTCAGTATAATCACGAGTCTTTGTGTAATAGTCCAAAACGGCTTTTTCGCAATAAGCAATTTTTCTTGATAAATCTAAATCCTTCACCAGATAGGTCCTCCCTTGGTGCATGTAAACAGCACCTTCATATACCTGTATCATAGGAACAATTATAAAAGAAACCCAAAAAAAGAGAGAGAAGAAAGAAAGAATTCACATAATTATACATGTAGAGGTGATCTATGAAAAAAGAGAACCATACCAGGGTCTAACAAATAAGTTCTTGTTTTTTGAACAAAACAAATAAGTTATAAATAATAAGAATAAGGAACACAAGAAGTGATATGGTATAAGGTAGGAAGAGAAAAATATACAGAGAAATATAGGAAGAAAACAGAGATTGGAAGACCAATGAGAGCACAAGGCAAAAAAGCAGATGAATCTCAGGAGAGGAAAGAAATTAGGTATAAGAGATGGGCAATGTATTTAACAACAATTCTCAATAGCTGAATTCATAATCAACGTAAGATACCGAAGATTGAGAATAGTGTTAAGTATACATAAGCTACCTCCTTACAAAGCACTGGGTAAATAAATAAAGTCTAATTGATTGAAATAACCTAAATACTCCAAAATATGTAAATCACAATTGAGACTTAAAATATATTATTAATAAAATAAATCTCTAAATATTTTTTTTTATAAAAAATGTCAATATTTTAATCCTTAAATATGTGTGATCTTGTCATGCATCAAGAAGTTACACCTGAAAGAAAGCCTTGCTTTCCTCAATCTCTTCAAGGGTTTCATTCAGTTGTGTATCTATTACTATGTATCTCTCGGCCTCTATTGCCCGTATACTGATCAAACGTGAAGGCATTTTCTGAAAGGAAAGGATATAAGAAAATACTTAGTAATTAGGAAGTGAGAAGTAAACAAGCTATCAAACCTAAACATGAAATTTTTACCTCGTGGCCAGTGTAACTCCATACTTTAGACAAAGAATCATTTGAAGGATCGGAAATTAAGTATCCTCTACTTTTAAGTGTAGTTATGGCACTTTTCAGACCAGACCCAAAATATTTCTCGTCGTAAAGCAAACTCAATGGGTGCTCAAGAGCTGCACAAACCAGATGCTGTTCAAGCACCTGAATGAATACAGCAACTAAGCATCAATTTGCAAATTTTCTGGAAACTTAACACAAATTGATCTAGATGATATCACAATCATTGAGAACATAATACCTGCTGGTTTTGAGCATCAATATGACAACACTCAATTGGACTCCTGAATAGTTTCTCAGGGAATTTCATAAAGTATTGATCCAGAGGCCCCTCAAATGCAACATACACAGCAAGAGAAGGCCTTTCTCTTCTGCCAGACCGACCAGCCTGTTGCCATAGGCTAAATTCAGCAGAGAAACACCCCAATTAGAAATTATGAAAATAATACTTCTATAGACAGATCAATGATGAATTTGTACCATACCTGGCAATACTACCAGGAAAGCCTAAATGCAGAGTTACATCAATATGTCCAACATCAATTCCCAATTCAAGTGCATTTGTTGCAGCAATACCACAAAGCTTTCCACCAAAAAAATCACTCTCTATTCTCCTCCTATCCTGCACTACAGCCAACATATATTAAAATAAGGAAAATCATTAGTTGGAGATAGGTTTTGCACATGATTAACTCATTTTTAAATAAAAGGCCCCAACTGCGAACATTCATTGCTAGAAATACCTATTTAGTATATTAAGAAAATAGCACAACAAAACACATTTAATAGGAAGAATTAATACAGGAGTGTCCACTAAAAAAGATAATTATGAAAACTAGGAAAACTGTTTCAAAATCAATTAATAAACTCTCACCAATCTTTAAACAAATCAACAAGGACAAGACTTAATTAGGATAACAATGTTTGCCCTAACACATTAATTCATATTGAAAAAATTTAGCAAACACAAAACTGAATTCACAAAGGCAAGGATTGTAACTTTGTCATGTCACCAACATCATTGCCAAAATTTATCAACAGCAAATTACCACCAAAAAAAAAAAAAAAAAAACTGACCTCAGAAACATAACCAGCACGATAGGCACAGATAGAATTGACAAGGTGGGGAGCCGTCTCTTCAAGAATTTCACGTCTGAGACAGTAATAGATTAATACAGTTATACACCATTTTTTGCATTGTAGAAATGCTTGAAAAGCAAGTAGTACAGGTCAGAATCATGATGTGAGACATACGTATAACATAAAACTAGCTCACAAAGTTTACGCGATTTACAAAAAGCAATACAACGAAGTCCATGCTGAACCATTTCTGCGAAAAGGTATGAAACTTCTGAAATTGGGCTGAGGAGCAAGAAAGAGAAACATAGTTATGATATACCAAATGAATAACAACTTAGGACCCCCAAATATTTCTTTTCAATGAAGAGGAAGATTATTGTTATCATACCTGAAACGCTTAACAGAAGCATTTCTAGAATCTATGCCATACTCGCTTTTATCCGGCTCCTGTAATCTAACAGTATCAGTTGGTATATATCATAACCTACTCAAGCAAAGCAATAGCTAAATAGAAAAGACAACAACATTAGCAAAAGGACCCATGGATATTAGACGTAAAGCAGGATTCCAGAGAACAAAAAGCTTTTCAGAAGAAGGACTTCCATCATTTTCAATGAGCTCCAATGTTGACAGATTTGCAAGTTCCTGAAGCATTCACAAAAATTATGTTCCAATTCAAAAAAACAAATAAAAAGGATCTAATAACTAAAACCTTGAGAGATATAAGGTAAACCTCAAATCTAAGTGAAAGAAAGTTAAAAAATTTTTAGAATCCTGAAAATTCAGGCGACAATGAGGCAAGCTACATACAAACAAATACAATGAAAATCTGGCAAAATAACTCAACCAGAAAATAGTCACCCTTAAATTGTATGGTGGTTTTTTTCTGAAAAAAGCATGAAAACTAAGTGGAGGTGGTATGTAGGTTATACAAAAGAAAAGCCACAATCATGACAAAATACACACAGTAATAGAAACAAAAGCAAATGAAGATAATACTCTGTACGAATCTTACCATACAGTGCTCACGAGGATTGGCAGAAGTTGCCGTACAGAAAACAAAAGAAGGATCACTTCCATACACTACACAATCCACCTCACCACGTCAAGAAAAAAAAAAAAAAGGATATAACTAGGAATTCCTAAAATTTTTCTTATTACCATGGGAGCAAAGCCTGCGAAGCCTTCTTAGAATAAGGGCAGTATGGCATCCAAAAGCTCCTTTATAAGCATGAGCTTCATCAATCACTACAAAACTGTATGATAAGAAGATAGAAATAATTTAGTCATGAAAAAGTAATAAATAGGAATATCACATAAAAAAGGCCACAATTTGAATCAAGATATTGACTAAAAAGATATAACCAAAGTCAACCAGTCCTGTAACTAGTGAGAGTAAAGATTGTTTTCAGATGAATCTTACCGAAGATTTGATAATATTCTACTAAATTGTCTATGTAATGGCAGGATTGACATATGTAACATATCAGGATTTGTGATCAACTGCATTCAAAATGACAAGTATTTCAGATAAAAGATAGCTAAAAGACAACTGGGGATGAGGGATGGGAAAGACTATATTTGAGACAGCTAACACTTTTGCTAATATACCAATCTAGCATTGTCTCGAAGCCATGTCCTTTCTTTCTGAGAAGTGTCACCATCATATACCCCAATATTTATGCTACAATCAAATCCACTTATTATAGCTAACAAAGCTCTTAGTTGATCTTGAGCTAAGGCCTGCATCAGAGAACAATTTGTCTAATAGAGATAATGCCCACGAGCCATGATCATAAAATTGATAAGCCTAACTGTAACAAACCTTTGTGGGAAACAAGTAAAGTGCACATGACGACAAATTATGGGACAATGCCTCCAAGACTGGCAGATTATAACAAACAGATTTCCCACTAGATGTCATTGTTGCTACCACAACATTCTTCCCAGAAAGGGATGCCATTATCGACTCTGCCTGTAAAGATAATGAGGATTCAAACATATGCACAATCTTGCCTTTAAAAGGATAGCAGTACTGTAAACAATTCATACCTGGTGGCTGTACAATTTATTGATTCCAATGCTTTTAAGGGCAGATTTTGAGTTGTCCGAGAGTTCATTAGGTATCTCCACATAGGAAGCTTTCCTAGCACCAATATTTTCAACATGCACCATCTGCATCAGTCATACATCAAGAGTGGAGTGTTCAGAGAATCCTTTCAAGTAAGAGATGCTAAAATGCTAGCATGTTAGGGCGATTAGGTAGTAATGAAATAAGACATGTGCATGATCCCAAAGGAGTTTCTGAGAAAATAAATCCAGTATATTTGTACATCAGCCTGCCCACCAGCTCCTATGAAATTCAATGGGAGAAAATTTTCTTTCCAAGAACCCAAACAAAGTGTAGAAAAAACCTGTCCATCCGTTCCAATGCTCTTTCTGAGGTGCTCGACCATTTCTGATGGTACCAAATGACTCGTGTCCTGCTAAGTCAAGAAGTTGTAACAATGATATAGGTACCTTGAACTTCAAAAGCAGTTTTATAACATTGATAACACAAAGGTCAAGGACAGCCCAATAATGAATTCCAAATGTAGGTTCTTTTCTTAGCATAAAGAATTTGCAATCTCTAACAAAAAATAACCTCTAATGCTTATATAACATATGAGCTAAAGAAACTGTGACAGTCAAACAGCATGAATACAGAAGTTATCAATATGTAATTTAAGTTTTTGACAAACCATTTAACCCCAATATGGTATAAAAATACTATTTCACTAAGCTTAAAGCGAAAATATCTATATTTCATTTTTTTTTCTTTTTTCACGTATTTATTGTTACACAAAGATAAAATTTAGATCATGAAAAAGCACTATAACCTTGTACTAAGTATGAATTGACACATACATGACATCGTCTTTTGACTGAATTTGAAGCAGAGGACCTGCTTCTCCTAGCCCGTTTTGCTTCATTTCTTTCCAAATCACTGCCACCGTTCTTTACAAAGGTAAGCAAATCCTCTAAGGAAAAGGAGAGCAGATTCTCATATTTCCCTTTAGACTGCACAAAAGAAAATATAATCATTCAGCAACTCATGATAGAAAAAAGAGTTCAATGCCTACAGCTGGCAGTATGCCTTAAGAAAGAAAACATAATGCAGGGGCAGTCAAGAAAATGAACTTAGGCTAACCAATAATATGAAAGTGCTTCAAAATTATCCAGAGAAAAGAAATGATATTTTCCCCATTGGATATGTAAAATAAAAATTGTTGCTTGCAGTTATGATATAGAAGCACATAATATTTTGCAACAGAGTCATAACTTTTCAATAATAAAATCCAAAGGTTGAAAAAATCAACAGATACATATGTATAAGTTTGCCTTGTACAAAATAGAAAATCCTGTCATTAATATTATCTGTTATTTGAGAGCTATAGATAAAATTCAGAGCATGGATGGTTCAGACTCAGCTCTTTATGTTAAGTTGAGAGTTACAATAGAAACAGAAGATAATAGGGAAAAGGTTGACAATTAATAGAAATAATAAAACTAGCCACTCAAGGAAAGTAAGTAGAGGGCAAAAAAGCTCATGAAATCACTCCAATAAACATGTCCTTGTAGAGTTCAAACTTCTCAAGAACCACCAGGATCTTGATGTAGGAAATATTTATGCACGCCTTTGAAAAAACAGATATACTAATACAAATTCAGGATTGGAAGCAGTTAATACTACCATTAACAACTTGATATTCTCCCACAAGCTAGTTTTGAATGACCTTTCCCATTTCTTCATTAAGCTAAAAATCTTTGAAAGAGGCATGCATGTTTTACCTGTGAACAAGAAGGTTGAACAGTCCAAAAAGTTTTATTTGCTTGGAAACATATCTAAAGTTAACTTAAAAAGGGGAGAAATGTATTTATCTTCAATAATACCGGCTCCAAGTTTGTTGTCAAATTTGTCTTCCTCCTTTGTTGAAGAACGGGTGATAACAAGTGCTTCACCAAAATTTTTAGGCTCCATATCATTATTTACAAAACACACCACCTGAGACAGGCACAACCAAACACTTCACTCAAGCATATGAAAGATGAAACAGAGAATCTAAAGAGCACTAATAGAGAGGTGAAAATTAAAAGTGCTTTGAGATCATTGTCATAGAAAGTTAATGAACAAAAGTCCAATCAAAGAAATTCAATATTGTGAAATAAAGCTATAACTTTCACAGCAATCCAAACATCTAGAGAAACGTAAGTTGAAACGGACTTGTGATGTAAAAGCACATAAGAAGAAGAAATTTGCAGTTTGCATTTTATAGAATAAGATCTGTCAAAACTTGGACAGATCTGTCAAAACTTGGACAGATCAAAGGTAAAACTTGGAGATTTAACATGACTTAACCTGATTTACTGTTCAAAGAGAACAAGGAAGCCATGCATAGAGTTAAACTACACAAACTGCCAATGCAGCATCAAAAGCACACTAGGGAAGAATACTGTTCAACACAAAAGTGGATCCATATGCAAAGACATCTCACAGCTGATGTCAATGAACAATTTTATCCATGGTTGATATATATTTAGTTACATACATACATATATGATTCCTTATAGGTGATAGTAAAAAAACCATGTGCTTTCCATGCACTGCCAATTTTGATAGCTAACAGCACAGGCCAAAATATACTTTAGCCAGCAAGAAGGTGCACAAATTCCTTCCCAGATTTCAACATATACAATTAAAAAAAAGTTTCCAATAGTGACACAACAATGATCATGCACAATCCTTCTAATTTGTCTTTTAAATCATGATATCCAACCAAGAGAAACTTGATCCAAACGGAAAGGCATCTATTAAAACCAGAAACGTGATTATAGAATTGGTCTAGAAACTGGTACATATGTCTAAAGTAAGCATGAAGCTTGTCTCAAACTTAAGTAAATAACATACAACGCTCATAGATAAGCTTTATATCAGCAAGAAACTTAACCAACAGGGTTTTATAGAATCATAGAAAGAAACAAACCTTGGGACAAAGAACAGAAAGACACTCTATTTCCTCCATATAAACCCCAACCCCAAAATTTTGTAAACTCTCCATCACTTGCTTCAAACAACCTGTAGTCATTCTCATTTTTCGCAGCTTAAAAAACACAGACAAAATGCTTAAGAAAGCAAACGCCTCCACAATTTTCTTCAACCAAACAGGACACAAACATGAAGCATGTTCATCACTAATCTTTAATTTGGCCTCACTTAACAACATACATTTCCCTGAATATGGACTGGACAAACAATTCATGGACTTCAAAACCTCAACAAACTTCTGGCAATTCTTTTCCTCAAACAAATCCCCATTCGAAGACTGCAATACATTCAATAAAAACCCATAAGGATGCCCCTCATTTTTCTCATCCCTATCAATATTACTATGACTATTACTATTATTATCTTTACTAAACTTTCCCAGATCGTCGCGTAAAGATGAGATTTCTTGCATCATATCAGAGTAAGTAGAATCTGCAAAGCTTGTCGCAGCGCTTGCATCGTTGGAAAAACTATGGTTTTCAATTTGAGGCTTGTTTTTCTTAGTAAATGGAATCAAAACAAAGAATTCACCGGATTGAATCGAGAGACTACCCACTTTGCTTTGCAAGTTCAATTTGGTACCCTGAAACAAAAACAATTAATGGGTATAGGGAAAGAAAGCATTAAAATCAATGTGTTATGAGAATAAAAAATGTTGGTTGTTTATACCTTGAAAAAGAGGTGAAAATTGGGAGAAGAAGAGGCGGGAGGGAAAGAGAGTTTCAAGAGATGCTTGAGATCGTTAACTGTTTTTTCTGGCGATACAGCAATGGCGGTGGATTCACCGCTCAGTGATCGGACTTGGATTTCCATCTCCGCCATGTTTTTTTCATTAATTTCGACGTATTTCTTTCTTTCTTTCTGTCACACTGTCAATTTTCTCATTTGAAATAGTTGGAAAATAAATGGTTTTTTTTTATTTGATTTTTGGGAGTTGCGGCTTTATATAGGTAGCCCGGCTTTGGCATTACTCGATCCCTAAAATATATGGTGATTTTTTTTTCAAATGAAAACACTAATAATCAAAATTCAAAAATTAATTGATTTGATTAAATCAAATTCAACTTAAAAATGGATGGGGGTGTGATGCGATTTGAGGTTGCGTTGGCATAGAAATTTAAAATTTTAAAAAATCATATATAAGTTTTAAAAAATAAAAAATAGATAATTTATATACATATTAATATAAATTGATTAATTTTTATATTTTACATTATTAAATATTAAATAAATAAATACAAATACATAAATTACTCTCATGATCTATTTTCTTTGTCCATTATTTTAGAATGTATTAAAATTATTTTTTAACATTTAAAATTCTTATTTTTTATAAATTTTTTTATTTTTATATTAAAAATTATAAATTTTAATGTAATATAAATTTTAAATTTTGTTCTAAATTTTATAAAAATTGATAATATCAATACTACCTTATATAAAAAAGATTTTTAAAGATTTTGGTGATGACAACTGATCTTTTTTCTTAACAATTTTATATTTGAACATGCTCTCTTTAGTGTGTTGTCGTAAGGATAAGATAAAGGTACACAAAAAAATAACATGTGTCATCCAGTAGCTTTTACATATATAAGTTTTGTTTGACTCATCTCTGCTTTGCCTAAATTGTATCAATCTCTACTATCTATATCATTTCTCTCTTCTTCCTTCGCCATATTATTTCATAGTTGAGTATTACTTTTTATTCATCTATTTTTAAATGGATTGTTCCTTTCAATGGCCCTTTTTTTCCTGTCTTCTCTTCCCTCAGAACTCTTTCAATCTACAACCCCACTTTAGAAAAATGTTATTGTTTTACGAAAAGACAAATCTTTAAATCTTTACTTGATTAGAGGCAGTGAAGCTAAATTTTCAGTCAAGCTACGATTCGTTTAGTCCTATATGACTCAAGAGTCTCGAATCGGGTGGAAACTTATAACAAACGGAATAATGAAAGGGAAGTTGTGGTGTAAAGTTTCGTGAATTTGTCGAATTTAATTTCAATTAGTTGATTAGTTTCTAGTCCTTTGCTTTGATGGTAAGTTTTAAATCAATTTTTTCGTTAGCTTTGAATTGATTTTTATTTTCAAATGACAAAACATTAAGCTAAATAAGTTTGATTAAGATTTTGAAAAAGATTTATTTAGTACATGTTCTTAAGTTTTATATTTTGATACTAAATAAATAATATGTTTTTTCAAAATGTAAATAAACCTTTCTTTATTTTCATATTTCTCAAACCAAATCTATTTTTTAAAGATTATTTATTTGAGCTTAAATGAAAATCCAATTGTTTTTTTTAAATGAACTTATTTATTTTGGACTTAATACTATTTTGATAATATTGGTTTTGAAAAATAGATTAACTTAATAAAGTTATTTTATAATAACAAAATTTTTTATCATTGAATTTGTTTTATTTTTTTGTATTAATTCACAAAGTTTTAATATTTTAATTTTATATAGTTGAAAAGCTCTTTGAGTCTACTTTCTAATGAATTGAATAAAATCAAAATCCAAATTTTTTAAGAAAATATTTTGAATTTTTACTAAATACTTTACAGTTATCTAAAAATTGTATAAGGAGTAGATTTGAAAATTCACTATAATTTGTACACAATGAATTAGATAATGAATTTTATATGGATAGAAAGCCCTTTAAGTCTAGTTTCTAAATATTCAAACGGTTTTTGATTTGGATTTGCATAACTCAAGATATGATCAAATTAGTGAGTAGAGTGTAAAATAAGATACAACAAAACAGCTTGATCGAATTGATCCCCTGGGTTATAGAGTCAATCCTCTAGCTGAACCAATTGATTGGGTCCCTTACCTGATCGATTAGGTCATGTTTTTCAAGTGGAAAATGGTGTAAAACTTGAACCAATCGATCCCCTCATGGAAGGGATCGATCGGGTCTGGGCAGAAATTCTCCAACAACTAGTTTTGCATGCTTCCAAAGGGCATTTCTTCTTCCAAACCTTCCCTAACGGCTAGTTCTTCAATTTCTCTATATATTGACCACTCTAACACACTAAAGAGGTAGATGAATCAAGAGAGCAAGATCAAACAAACTATACATTCATTCTCCTAAAAGTTTTAAAGCTTTAAAGTCTATATCTTTGTATTTATTGTATCCAAAATCATATTTGTTGTTCATTCATCATTTTTTTGTACTTAAACTTAGCAAACACTTAGCCTTAGAGCGGTTGTTCTATTGTTTGCAAAATTACCTTTGATATAAAAGGTGAAAAAGAAAAGAAGTAACGTATCATCTTAAAAGCTTTGTAGTTAGATTGAGTAAAATACTACAAATGACAGAGATTTTTATCTTAAGCCTTAGAAAGAAAAAGATAGATTCTATTTTCAATTTAAGAATAGTGGATTAAAACTTCGATGTAGACAACCAATAAGAGAGGACATAGGTACCTTGTAGAGAAAGATCAAACATCTATAAATCATTGTGTTTGATTTTTCTATCCTTATTTTCTTACAATTTATTATTGTTTATATTTGATTTTAGGTTCATTAATTGTTATTGTTTACATTATATTTTCAACAAAAGTGCTTACTGTTTTAATTTTTATTCAATTATTTTGAAATCATTTATTTAAAAAAATTTAAAAAAATCTAATTCACCCCCTCTTAGATCACCATCTCACTTAAAAAGCTAATTATTGGTATCAGAACTTTGGTTTCTTTTTGTAGGTTTAGCCACCATGAGTAAAGATCCTATGGCTCAATTTTAGTTTCAAGATGGTGAGAAAGTCCTGAAAACTCCTATAGTTGATAAATTTAAATTTTGTGATTGAAGAAGATAGATGAAGATGTTCATAATGGCCCAAGATTTTAGAGCTTGGAATGTGGTTGAAAAAGGGCTTAAAATTCTTTCAAATAATGCAAACTACATAAGACAAATAATGGATGATGCCAAGGCCAAATGTTTATTATATAGAGCTCTTGACTTTCATAAATTTAACTTGGTATCAAAGTATCCAACCTCAAATGAGATATAAAAGAAGTTGGATGAAGTACATAAAAGAAAATAATCCAACCGAAATGCATCATATCTCATAGCTCTTAAAGATCCAAAGGTAATCTTTAATTTTATTGATTCAAATTCATATGCTTTTGATGAATTGCAATATGCTTATAATAAGCTATATGTTGAATGTGAATCGATGAAGAGTAAATATAAGAAAATGATTTCAAAGTTGAATGTAGAGAATGAGTTTTTAATGAATACAAAAAATATTTAAAAAAAAATAAAAAATTAAAAATAGATTTTAAAACCTTTCAAAATAGGTATGAAATTTTAGAAAAAAATTTTGATTTGAAAAAGAAATTTGATGTTTTGATGAATGAAAAACAAGAGTTTTTAGATAAGAGTTTAAATGCTAAAATGATTAAATATAATTTTTATAATTTTTATGGTCATACTATACATATTTGCCCTATTAGAAGAAAAGTTTCATTTAGAATTAGCTAAGTATGGGTTCCTAAATGAACAAGAGACTTGGTCACTAACTCTTAAAGATCTAAAGCAATTTGGGTATCAAAAATCAAATGAAATTGTCTCTTGTAGGTGTGCTAGAGCAAGAAGCTATAATGTGAGATTGAAAATTAAATACTCTAAACACATAATAGAGATGGGTAACCTCTAAATTTTTATTTAAAAAGAGAATTTGGTTACCTATTCTTAATGGCATTTGAATGCTTGATTGATTATTCAAAATTTAGTTGACATTGATTACAAGACATAGGTTGCATAATCTTGAGAAAATATGAGTTTGAATTGAATATACATTTATTTTGCTCTTAAATATGTTTAAAATGCTTATTGAAATTATTTATGGTGTTAAATTGCTTAAGCATAATTTTGTTGATGAATTTTTTTATTGATTCTTAGTGTAATTACTTATGTGTAAATTATTTTTATATTTATGCACAAATTTAAGAAGAGCACAAAGCTTAATGATTTTGAAACTTTATGCTTCACTTTGAAAATGATTTTTGCTAGAATCAAGCCTTAAAATATGAAATTTTGTTTTAACAAGTTTTTAATTATAAAATAAATTTGAATATCTTGAATTAAATAATTTAAACTTACTTAAACAAAGAAAAGTTGATAACTTGCATTGGTTTTAATTTTTCATAGTGTTACATGCAAGTTTTAAAAGATTTTGAAGCTCAAACGGTCAAATTTGTTTTTGAACAATTATGGGCATAAAAAAAATCATTTGGATTTTTTTTTTAAGTGTGATATAAAACTTTTCTAAATGGTTTGAAGAGCTTAAATGTGTGTTTAAACATATTTGCCATTTTTAATCGCCTTTTTCAAGAAAATATGAGATTAAGAGTTGATTTTTTTATTTCCTTATTTCTAATGCCAAATGACCACTTGAACAACTTTGTTTTGTCATTTGAAACTTGTTGGAATGGTTCAAGATGGTTAAAAATGAGCTTGACTAGTTATGAGATTTATTAAGGTTTTTTTCAAACAAAAATGAGCTTCATATTATCAAAAAATAAAAATCTTAGAAATATTAAGTTTTGAATGATTTATCCTATTGTATTTTGCATAAATACATTTATTCGAATGATTTTGACATGATGAAAATGATTTTGTGATTTTTATACATACTGATTTGTGATTGTTAAACATGCATATATAACCAAGATGTTTAAACTTGATTTGTTTATAATGCCTGAATCTTGTGAAATTTTTAAAATTGATTGTGTTATATATAATTGTTTTAACTTTGATTTGTGATTTTAGAAATTGATGATCACATTGTGCTTAAATCATATATATTGATGTTTGATTGTTCATCTCTTGATTTCTTATGAAATAGTCTTGAAATATACTTTAATTATTTATCCTTATTAATTTAAGATTTATTTCTTCTCTTATATTGACAAATTGATGAACTTTATGTGCTTAAAAGATATATATTGATTCTTTGTTCATTTATGTTTTTTATCAAGATATGTGCCTATATGATTATTGATTCAATTTGACCTTAATGTTTGTGATTTAAAATACTTGAATTATTTATCTCTTGGTTGTGAAAGATATTTTATGAAATATGGTTA